TGTGATTTGCATATTGCACTTAGCCATATTGCGATTTGGATAATATTGTGATTAAGTGTGCAGCTCTTATATATATATATTATAGCAACCAAAATATAGCAGCTTGACACAGGGAAAAAGATGTGATGTTTAAACTTCGGTGAGATTTGGAGAGAACATAACTTAATCAGATGATATGGCTGTGTGTTTACACCTTTTTTCACTTCCTCTAAGTGGCCAACAAATCAGTTAATGCAGCTTAAATTGGTTTAGATTTAGATTGGTAGCCCAAACTTTGAGGCTCCTTACATTTTACTTAAACTAGAATTACAGTTAAAAATGACTGAGCAAATCTGTCATAGCATCAGTTTCTTTAATCAGTTATTGTACTATGAGCATAAATGCAGCCGTCAACCCGAATCCCTTCCCTATTTTGAAAATTCATGATCAAAAGGGTCCCACTGTAGAACCGGCCAAACAAACATGGCGAGTGTTGTTCACCTAATGACCTGCTTGTCGTGCCATCCGGGTGGTGTGAAAAACTTGGCCTGTTGTTTCATTAAGCACATGTGACAGAGGTCACTCATGGTGGTTTCCTCTATGGACCAGGTGCGTGAACTCAGGGTGCACAGAGAGGTCAGGCCAGATCAACACAGCAGCCATGACATTATGTTACGTGATGAGCGTGAAATTCCTCTTTCATTCCACAGACTCATGAAGTATCACACAGACTCTTCACTCTGCTTCAGTTATTTCAGTAAAGAGATTGCTTGTGGTTTGGTGGATAGCAACCATCTTTATTCGTCAATGTGACCTTCTTAGCACCCACTTATATATTATTTAATATATAGAATGCTTTTTAGTGTCTTACTGCCTTAATTTTTCCACCTTGCCAAGAATATGTGAATTCTTGTCATTTTGAAGTAATTTTTCTGTTGTTCATCTCTACTTTTTTTACCATCATACATCAATGTCCTTTTTATTTTATTCCATTGCATTTGCTATTAAACCATGACTAGCCAACTATTATGTCTGCCATAGCTAATTAATGTTAATTTTGTAATGGCTAAAATAAAACTTTTGGCTGTTTAATGTGATTCACGTGCATTACTCTGTAACACCATTGTACAACCGGGAGTGGACTGTTTTTGTGGATCAGCTAGATCTGATTGTGTTACGCTAATTATATACTTTTATGCATGTTATATCAATACTTGAAGCTTATAAATATAATATTTCTAAACTTGGACTGAAAAACAAGTAGCTTGTCTAGAGTAAGAGGCTTCATCTGTTATCTCAGTGAGTCGGATACATTTTGTTAGTATTTCATACGAATGTAATGGTGCATTCAACTCCTGATACAGTTCAATTTATGATACTGTGTTCACAATATGATTTTCTTATGAACAAAATGAGATTAAATGATGGAAAATGATTATTTTTCTCAAACAAAAATCTACAAAATATGTTTATCAAATTAAAGAAAATTTTTTTATTATATCTGAGGTAGGAACAAAACAATGTATATTTCATTTTCTTTGTAAACAGGACACTGAAAAAACTCAAACAGAAATTGTCCTTATCCGTATCTCTTGCCATGTCTTGTCTTATATTTTCTTAGCTTTTTTAGTTTCTGACTGAGGGAAGCTAAAAGCTGCCACACCTGCTGCCATTGGATTGTTGTCGTTTTATTTTGTGGTTTAATGGTCTACTGCTAAAGAACAAGAGATGTTCAGTGACAGACGTTAGGCAGTGTAGTACAGCAGCCTGGGCCAGAAGACGAGAGGCATGAAGTGGGCTGAGCCAGAATATTTTTATTTTTAACTCTGTTGGTTGTTGGTTAGACAGCAGAGTTGGTGATTGTTAAACAGTGGAAAGATTAGTAAGGACGGTTGGATGAGATACATTTTGTGTCTGTCGGGTTTGAATGAAGTGTGTTTTAAGATAATTTCTTCTTCCTTTTCTTCACATTTGGTGATTAGGGCCGTGTGCGCAGCTTACATACACTGTATGAATATATCGGCAATCAGAGATTGTTGCACTGAACATTTTAACATTTTTTAATACTTTATTGCAATATTTCATTTATTCTTTTTCCTACCATTGTTTACATCAATGTCCACTGCATATTTATATATAAATATATACGTATACATCCATACTCGTATATACATGTAGGTACATCCATAATTTTTTTTCATTTAAAAAGAAACGTAACTAATTAACTACAAAAGAAAAGCTTTAAAGATTCAAAGCAGACCCCAATGCACGCACACACACAAGATTTACATATCGCTGTAAGTTTTCACCTGTGGCCGCCATGTCTTTAAACGTTGATATAGCTACTGATGCTAGTGACGTAGGATGTCGAACAAGCAAAAAATAGAAAGCGCCCTCTGATGAGAGTATCACAATTCATTTTTCATCTCATCCCCATTTGAACATATTTGTATTGAGCTATAACTGTCTCAAGATATATTGAGTGTTGCACATGTGATTTTCAGGTTGTAGCTACAGGTTATGAACATTAACGAGGCTGCCACTAAAAGCTATAGTGCTTCTTATCCAATAAAAGTTGATTACAGGTCTCAGTAGAATCTTGAGATTTAATAAAATGCTGTCAAACTCCGACCCTACTTGACACACACCCTCAGACTGGAAAAGAAACCTTCACAAATACACGTACCTTCTTTAAGGTAGCATTTGTAATATTTGTTAAGTCTCTGTGTCAACTTCAAGACCTCTCCACTGTCTAAATCCTACTTCTTGCTCCCAGATTGCTGCCCAGATCTGTCGCCAGGCCGGCCTGGTGCAGAAGTCCAAGGATGTGATGGACTACAGTGCTGAGAACTTTGCCATAGTCTTTGCAGCCATGGGGGTAAGCAGAAAAACTTCAATGTGAAGCGGACACTCGTTCAACACCCCCATCTCCCATTTGTGACTCTTAATCCCCTCTTAACCCTGACGCCCTGATGTGACACACACCCCATCCCCTCTCTCCCGCCCTGCTTTTCTGTCTTTTATTCACCAGGTGATTTAAGTCCCTCTTGTTACTTCTGCACCTCTGAGTATATCCCCCAGCCACATAGGCAGGTTACTAATTCAACAGGCCCTTTAATGCTGTCAGCCCCACAGTATCAAGTTCTCTTCTCCTCAGCTGCTCCTCCTGTCCGCTGTAATGCCTTGATTGTGACGGGTTGACCTCTACCAAACACACACACTTGCTTCATTTGCTAAACGCTAATCCTTGCCTTCCACTTCTCCACCAATTCACATCCCATTGTGGTCAGTCTAGCAGGAGAGTTGAAGCAGCGTTAATAGGGATTTATACAAGTAAACACACGGATATGCATTTTTTTTAAAAGACAATATAGAGGGCATAGTAACAACAATGCATCTGTTTAATGGAAAAAGTCAGAACACAAAGGTTTTGTTTACTCACAGTATAAGACTTCTGTTGAGCCAAGAGCTCTTATTGAATGACTCTTTTATTTAATATATTCAGTTTTTTGTAAACTATACATCACCATAGCAACATATTGTGATGCTATTATTTGTTTTTCCCGTGCTGTGAAGAAGGTGCTGTCCATCTGCCTGAATCCATGTGAATGCAGTCAGTTTTCAACAAAAACTCTGGACATATTTGGCTCGTCTTTGTAAAAAAAGAAAAAAAAAAAAGTTTAGTTTTAGTCGAGTCTGTAAATGAATTTGTCTCTCAACACAGACAGTTATTGTGAGGATTTGCTGCTTTACGTGGATGTCTGAAAGAGGGTCTCCATATCATCATAACTTTTGTATCATTTGTCAATCAGGTCAACATGGAAACTGCCCGCTTCTTCAAGTCTGATTTTGAGGAGAATGGCTCTATGGACAACGTCTGCCTTTTCTTGAACCTGGCCAATGACCCCACGTAAGATTCAGAGTCAGAAATGATCTCAGCCAGTAAAAGCAGTAATTGTAGCAGCCAGTTCCACTTTTTTATGTTTTGTTTATTCTCAATGGTGTTCTGTTCAGAGTGTTTACTGGCTTCATATTTTATTTTCAAATGTAAAATGTATGTAAATGTATGTATGACATTCTCCAGACTATCCTCAAGTTATGTGTACACTAAAATAAATAATAATAAATAATACATTTCTGTGACCAATCAGCATCGAGCGTATCATCACCCCTCGCCTGGCACTCACTTCAGCAGAGTACCTGGCCTACCAGTGCGAGAAGCACGTCCTGGTCATCCTGACTGACATGAGCTCCTACGCTGAGGCTCTGAGAGAGGTATGATTACATCTTATCCATCCTAGATGTATTGCTTACTCAGACAAATGTGACAGATGCTACATGTGAATATTTGAAAAAAAGTTCTAAACAAAAAGGGTAAATGGCTGAATGTGTCAAATGAATGCTAGGACTACTGCTAAATTATATGAGACTGAGAGCTGTCCTGAATTTTCAAGAAAAACTGAAAATGTCCTGGCAGGAAAAAATGTCTAATGCAAGACTACAGATAAACATTGGCCGCTGATATCGGTGAATGCCATCTTGTTTGCTGATAGGCCACTGTCTGTGTTCTTCCTCAACACTTAATCATACAAGTTAGTATTTTTTAGTAGTATAAAGTGGCTATATCTAAATTTATTTCTACAACCCTGCATTGTAAACAACTATGAAACAGCCTTGAATCCTGGAATACCGATGTTCAGCTGATGCCTCTTTAGTAGTATTTTAATCGGTGTCTATTGATTTATTATTAAATAAATGTATATTTAGTTAATATTGATGAATTTTTTTTTTATTTGTTTAACAAAACAAAACAAACTAGAAAGAACAAATGTATAGCCGCTTTTGACTCCCCGTCACACAACCCATTAAGTGGCACAGAAATCAGGCACCGAAAGCTGCATTGGGATTTGGTCTGTTAGATGCCGGTCATAGGTGCCATATTGGCACCAGGTTTTGGTACCCTACGCTAATGTGGCAGCACGTCAACATGACACACCAATGTAAATTCTCTGCTGCATTAGCACAAAGGTGATAGACTCACTAAAGTGTTGTGCTCCTTGCTGAAAGGGAGGATAATGCGTCCCTCTTTCTTGCAGGGAATACCTTAACTTCATTATTGTCCGCTCGGCTTTAAAAGGAAATGGGGCCCTCTCCCTGCCCTCCCTCCCTCTGCCCTTCTTCCTCGTGGCGAGGAGTCAGGCCCTCTCGACTCACTCTCTTGTGTTTCTGTGATAATCCTTTTATGTTGTACAGTTTGCTGTCTCAATATGCTGGCAGCACAATGCAGGTTTTTAAATGGTGAATGTGTGTTTTCCCTTCTTGCATTTGCTGTCCATAACCTTGGCACATGTACGCTGTGCACCAAGCTAAGACTCAGACAGCTTGATGGGTATTTCAGCCCGTACAAAGAGCCAGGAGGACATTAACATTTAACTTTGGTTCCCATTCACGCGTGTGAAGGTTGAGTTTTGCATTGAATCTACAGTTCACAAGTATTTAGCGTGCCCATCAACCTTTGAATCCAAGGATGAATGAGATACATTTTCTTTTCCTCTTGCTCTGAATTCACTTGACTTTGGGAACAAGGATTTGCTTTTGGTCATTTTTGTGAAGGGCCTGAAAACAGAGTGACATTTCCAACCAGCTGTTTGCCTCTTCTGAAAGATAGTGAAGTAATAAGCATCACTTGACTTACTAACAGTAAATGGAGTTTATTATTTACGAGGAAGGGTATAAGAAAAAGAGCACAATAAGATTTAGTCTTACTTGAGATAAAAAAAAAATTCAGTTAATATTTTCAGTTTGAAATGAATTATCCTGCTCTTTACAACTGCTGTACCCCCAAAGATCTGTTGGAAAACAAAGTCGTAAAGGCGGCATTAATCTTTTATTTTTATAAACGAAAGATAACTGGGTGAAATGTGGAAGATGTTACTAACAGAGAACTGACCCCTCATTAAGCCCTGCCACCCTTACATACTGTGGTTATAAAAATGACCATTTTATCATGGCACATATGCAGTTTACAATGATGGCACTGGCCATCTACCACTCAAGATTAGTAGGACATTTTTAAATAGTGCATACTTGATTTGGTTGTAAAATCCATTCCATTTTAAAACAAGAACCCTGCGAAAGGGTCTTAAATATGCACTCAAGAGCCACTTGCATGATGTGCTGAAATACTAAAGTCAGCATCAGCACCAGTAGACATTGAAATAATGGAGCAGCATTGTTATTATATTGCAGGGTAGAGTAAGTTAGCCCACGTATGTATGATAAGGAAAAATTTAATTGGGAGTTCCTCCAAATGAATGTTAATGTTGCT